GGTGCGCAAATGATCATAAAATCGGCGTGCGGGGTTGGGTCAAAGTCAGGTAAAATCCTAATTTTTCTATTTTGCCCTTTTCATTTGAGGCGAGGTATTCTGAGTATGGGAGATCCTGTGGAACCAACTGACGAGGCATTTGGGAGCATCCTTGCGGTTGGAATCGCCTTGCCTCTGGTGTTGCTGATAATGGTCACAGTCACAGCAGGAATTTTAATGTACCGACATCGCAAGACGAGTAGAAGAGAAGGGTCAGAAGAACCGCTTCTTCCGTCAGAGAACAGCAACTCTATCCGATCTGTCATCTTCCTTCCCAATCTCAGGAGTCGCCTCTGCCTCCTTCGTCGAATTCCCTCACCTCATTTTTCCCACTGTGATGCGGAGGAAAGCGTGAATATTTAAAAATACTTCTAATGTGACTGAGATTTGTATTTATACATTTAAGATGCAGTTAAAGAACAGGTTTGATTTTATGAAACACTCCTAATGGTGATAATCTCGTATTTTTATTTTGGAAAATGCAATCACGTAGCCTTTAAAAGTGCTTTAAATGGTATATTTAGATCCTTGGAAAAAATTATGCACAAGTAGACTGAGTGGATTAAAATCGCCTTATTTTGCATCCACTTTATCGCAATTTGTTGTATGTTGTAAGTAGTGCAGGGAGGAATAGCTGCTCGAATGACCAGTCGAAGGCTGTTGCGATGACAGAACTTGTGGTCTGTTTAAGACCCTTTTTATTTTACTTTTTTTCTGAGAACCAACTTTGACTGCGCATGAGTATGAGTATTGTTGTTAGCTCAAGTGAACAGATGCATTTCGATCAAATGGAATTGACTGGACTATGCACTACTACCGTACCACTGCTACACCGCCCCTCCTGTTTGATTTTGGATTCAACTGGTGTTGAGGCTAGAAGGGGAGTCTTACAAATGCTCGGCTCGTACCACGTTGCCTTGCTCTGGGTTTGGGTCCCTGATACCATCAGCCCTCGCAGGCAGGTGATTCCCTTACTGGACCGGTGCACTTTTGCCTCCCTGCTTTTTTTACATCCCAAGGTCACAAGTACGATTTTTATTTGATGTGTGATAGCATCTGAGGTAGTGTAAAAAAATCTTCGGTTTCGGGTCGCAAGCTGGCAAAAAGGTGAACTTAAGCTTCCACTTCCGTATGATGGAAAACCATTATTATTTTGTGCAGCGATGTGTTTAAAACGCTCACTACTTTCTTTGCACAGAGTGCCATTCAGATCTAATTCCTTCATTCATTAAAGTACGATAATGAATGCTGAAGTGTCTGGGGTTTTAAAACAATCAGGAAGTTTTCTACGATGTCAGTTCTTAATCTACGTTTAAGCGTTGTAGCGTTCATCTGAACGAAAAGTATCCTTGGAGTTTGTTCCCTCAAATGTCGATAGCAGTGTTCTACGGAGATTGAAAGATGAGCACTCTGAATGCTCTGATTTGACGGCGCTTGTGGAACAATTAAAGACAACCCTTTATGAAGCAGCAGACTCCTTTGGATTAATACGTACAGAGTGAAAAATATAGGTAACGCCATTTATAAACCAAATGCCACAAGAGATCAAGTACCTCAATGTGCTTATATACTTCTACATTCATTCTTCTTCATTCACCATGCGTCTGTTAGGGGCTGCTCCTAAATATTTTGTAGCTTAAAGACAGCGTTAAAACGGTGAAAATCAGTTATACTGATAGCTGTAAAAGATCAAAATTGCTAAATTCAACAAAAATCTCATCATTAACAATAGCGATGAAGGTGGCTCGATTTTTCTTCCATTTGATGAATGTGTGTTTATGTGTATGCACGTATGTGTGGAAAATGGAAAGCATAGTTTTTGGTGTCTGCAAGTAGTGGAATATTGTAAGTTTTTCACGACTCCTCTCCATGAAGGTGACGTCTCAGGTTTCCAATCTCTTTTCTCACTCGGTAGCCGCGATAAGTGGCCTGGATTTTGCGTGCCGCCTCGTCGTACTTCTGGTCCGCGTAGCGAGGAATTGGTGCCGTCTGAGCACGCATGTTCTTGCGCACTTGATAACCTCTAAAAGCAGCCTGAATCTTTGTTGCAGCCTCATCCTCCGAGAGGTAAGGGCTCACACAGGGGCTGCTGGCTCCGCTTCCCTCCTCCTGTGCCAAATTCGTGCGCACCTGATAGCCGGTCTGGATTCGTGTTTTTGTCCAATTGCATCTCTTCTCCTCATCTTGCACTCTCTGCAGACTGGATTTGTTGGAGGTGTCATTCAATCCCTTCTGCGTGCTCTTCTCCTGACCTAGTTTAAGATCAACGAAGTCGGGAGAGAGCTTTTCTGAATCACAAATTGTGATGTCGGGATGTTTTAAAACTTGGGCAAGCTCTTTGCGGGCCAGATAACCACGAAATGTGGCTTGAATTTTCGTCGCTGCTAGGTCTGGATCGGGTTGATCAGGGGAGGTCGGATTGGATATTTCCATACCGTGCTCTCTCTCCTCCTGAATGTGCTTTCGTGTATTGTAGCCGCGAAACATTGCCTGAATCTTGATCGCGGCTTCATCGGGTGTCGGCTAGGAGTATGAATAAATATCCTTTGCCCTTAAGCAAAATGGTTTGAAAGATAATACCCAACTCTTAAAACCAGTAAATTCATGAAGAATTGACATCCTATTCAGTAAATTATTTTCTACTTTCGTTCAAGAACTAGTAGCTTGGAGCAGTATTTTGATTTCTGTTTCACCGTTTCCAACTCTGATGAGAAAATATTGTTGCACTCTTGATCGGAAATTCAAGACGAATCCTCTAAGACTTGCAAGACTTAACACCTAATTAATTTGGATCGTTGTAAAACTGGAATGCATCCCTAAAAAATTTTTCCATCAGAGATATTTCATAACGGTTGAGAATGAAGTTGCAGTTATTCACTTTCTGTAT